CCTTTTTTGCTATAGTTGATGGGCCAGCACAGTGCTACATGAATGTAACTACATTGCCTTTTTTTGTTGCCAGACTGCAAGCTAGATTCGCTACTATTTAGTTCGCAGTCTATTATGTTTAAAATTATGTTAAAGTTATGTGCAAAATCTAATAAACGTGTGCGTCCGTCGTGATCCTTTGCCGAGCTGAGATGTTCCACCAAAAGAAAAGACGATAAGTACACAGGTAACCATTTGCGCAGTGCGTCGGGTTACATCTCGCTAATGACACAATCCCACATGTCCCAGCGGCAGAAGTAAGCAAAGACGTCTTTAAAGGGACGATGCAAAGCTAGAGTAATAGGTAACAATCAGTCCCTACAACTATGCTTTCAAATGGATACTGACTTCTATTTTCGACGGTCACAAAGTTGCGGGAACAGCTGCTTAAAATTTTTCCGCGACACCATTTATTACGTATGTGATAGAGACCCTTAGTACAGGGATAAATAAATTTTATGTGCATATGTACAGTTTCCGAATGACCTACACTGAGCGATTGCATTTGTACAAGTAATGGCTATTAACCGTAAAGGCCCGTTTATGCTGCTGTATAAATAAAACGAGCAGGGCATGCGAAGCGGGGAAATGGCCACAATGCAGTCCAGCCAGGGTTACATGTGCGCGGAGTGCTATACACTCTCGTTTCCTTCAGATGGTTAGTATACAGAGATCGGAGATAGAGGACAGGTATCAGACAAGCACTTTTTGCATACTAAAGATTTCGAGGTCTACATCGGCTCCTTAAGCTGCTAGGGATTCGATCAGACAGCTGGAACGAAGCGTATTATTTAATGCGATTTTAGCCCGGACCGTGACGTATCTCTCAAGTTTAGCAGGCAAGCACAACTTTGCGTACGGGCTATTTATATAAATAGAGGAGAAATTAAGGGGTCATTGTGACACGGATCTGCTACGGTCAAGTGCAGCACGTAGCACTGTTTTTATTTTAGTTCAGCAAGCCGAGTTTTTTTTGAAAGGCATCTTTGAAAGGAAACTTTTGAAAGGCACGAAGTAACGCAGCGGGATAACTTTGTACAAGCCGCGACAGCTTTTTGACGTTTCCAAACGATTAACCTTCTTGGCCGAAAGCAGACAGCCGTTCACTTGGTAGACGACTGTTTCCCTTTTTTCCAAATTCCACCGATACTACCTTCTTGTCTATTGTATTCTCCTCCGAGTGACCAAATCGATCTTCCCCCGCCCACTTTTATGTCTCCTAATTTATCCTTATATATCGTGAACGAGTCAATCATCAGCTGAGATGCCTCATCGCTTACTTCTGTTCTACTTTCATTCTCTCTTAATCTTAATAGTGATAGTTACGCGCAGTATCACCTTCGAATCCACTTTGATGCCTCTCCTATATCACCAAAAAACCCGCGGTTCTTTTGCTTCTACCTTGCTTTACTTTGTGATGCACGAGCTTTAACAGAGGAGCAAGGATCGCACCACTGACACAACAGATAGCAGCCGTATTTTTAGGGACATTGTCCTTTTTTCCTCTGAAGACAAGCGATGTCTATCCCTTCGTTCACTGCTGCGTTGGTTCGCCAGAGAATTCCCACTACAAAACCTGGATCTCTCGTGCGAATATCTTCCGCTCTACCTATATCCCCTAAAAGCTTCTGTTAGCCACGAGGTCACAGGCCAAGCTCTCCCTGCCATGATGAACTATAGTAGTGCTACTCCTAACCGAGAGATAGAGTCGTCTGAATAGTACAGTGTAACCCAGCATACTAATTTCACTTCTACACTAACCCTCTTCCACGGTGTATTCCCGAACGTGGTGTCTGCTTGTAGCAACCTGAATCTCTGTGTTTGTAGGTGAGTAAGCAAGCAAGGAAGGAATGTGCGTGCCTGTGCGCCACACACTAGGTGTGTCTATTTTAGCATATGGTGTACGGGCTTCTGGTTCAGAGCTGTACAGATCAATCAATGCGCTTCGTACCGTGTTATTCAAACAGTTAGTCCGTCTTATCGTTTAACGATTGCTTCATCGTTATTCGTACCGATGGCATCGTTAATAATATAAAAAAAACGACGAAAAGAAAAAGAATGAACCAGCAAAAGACCCCAATGGTGATAACTAGTTATACCTTGTGCGTTTTTACACGTATTATATATACGAGATGGCTCTCTAGGAATACAAGTATAACACAAAAAAAGGTACTGGAAGTAGCGAAGAGTTTCAATTTTACAGTTATTTTCGCTCACAAAGATAAGTTGAAGAAGTGCTTAACTAACGGTGGTCTATGCCAATACACAAGTAACTCTAATAGGAAAACAGCTTGGCCAATCGTTCGTGAAACACTCTTTATATAGGAGAATGCCATGCTCTTAATTTAGCGACGACATCGAATCGCTTTGCCTAGCCAACTAGAAAATGTGGTTCGAATGAACGTATAGTTCTTGGTAATGATCTTCTGTCGAGATAGTTATCTGCAATGTGAACGGCCTGTCTGCGACAGAAAATTACGTCTCTCGGGCTTCCGCGTCGTGAACCATCTACAAATAGCCAGCAGCAATTTACCTTCCGCTAATCCTGCTTTTAGCTCTATTTAGTCTTCATAGAAGGAAAGTATCCTCTGCCCCCAAGGCAGTTAGGGTAGGCAACAACATGCCAGTAGGTCAAAGTCTTCATTGTCTTTGCACGGGGCATACGGTGCGTAGAGCGCCAACTAACCTTGCAGATGTCCCCAAAGTTCATAACCCTACGAGTACTATCGACAATATAGTAGAAACATAAGAACTTCAACGTCAGAAATAAAGCACTTATTTGGATAGAAAAGCTGAATTTCCATATAGTGGTTCAACATTTTACTCACTCATTTTGTTTTGTAACTCAACGTTCGGTTAGGGTTTTTGAATAGAGAATCCCAAGGAGCCTGTACTAGCGGCTATATGTGACTCACGAATACCCGTTTGGATTTACCCTTCAGTATTTCAATATGCTTAATATATTATGCTTCTACTACAAACACACGGGTCTGCTCCCTTTAGAAGTATCTTTAATTAAGCAATGCTCGTAGGTACTACGGGTATTGCTGGGTATTTCTCTTGCGGAAATAGCAACACACGGGCGACTGGCAAATGAGGAGACAAATACCTTGAACGCAACAGACAGCTTCATGAGGATGATTATTAGATAGGAAACTTATTGCTCCGGCTTTTTTCTAGCAGTCGCGTCCAACATTGAGGTGAAATCGGCTGGTCCCAATATAATGGTACTTGCTTACTCTATTAAGCCTGAAAGACTCTTGCCTTTTTCATAGACTGTGAGTAAAAAGCAAGTACACATTTTTTTTACCTGTCTTTCAAGGAAGCTCTCCATACTGTTCGTTAATATTCAACAAAGCATTTACCTTAAAATTTTAAACGACATTGATGAAATTCTTCTTACAAATAAATGTCAATATTTTTAGTAAGCCTTGATAAAGGCCTTTATTTACGTGTGGCAAAAGTTCATAACTGACACCTATATGTATATATAATGTGTGGTCAGACCTTTAAGCATATACATGAGGACGCATAAAAAAGCAGTGCCTATTCCCCCCCCCCCTATGGATAGCGCAAGAAGAACGTGATTTGAGTATGAGCTACTGAAAATCCTAACTAATGTATTTGATCATATGGCTCAAGGCGATATTTTTGAACGGTCAGATCTTTGTTAACGCAGCAAGTCAACGCCTACTATACCACCAGCAAATCAAATCATAGGAGCAGATACGATTTTAAACAGATTTATATGAAATTCAATTATTTTGCTTATTATTGCTACTGTTTGGTATGCCTTTATATCTCATCAAGCTGTCTTGATAAAATGGACTGCCTTTTGACGCGTCTTTGTACAACGACGATCTCTTTTAACGGGTCCATCTTGTTGGCCCGGGCCCAAAATGGGAAATGGTTCAGGTTTGAGTTTAGCCGTTTGCAGCCCTTTTTTTAGCCATTGTTGTGTTGGTGTGTATCCCATCAAGACTCCATGGCCAGGCTCTTCTCTTTGAGCCTGCCTGTCCGCTCTACAACTATCTCGTGTTTTCCTGTGTGTTTTCAACGCGCATGCCGTACTTGTTCACGTCGTTCATGTCGCTCTTCAATGAAGGACCACTAGAGCTACTTCAAAAAAAAGACTTCTTGGCAGCAGTCACTGTTGTGCTCCTCGTCAATCCCACATAGAGTTGGGCTTTCCTTCGTAAAATCAGTGACCGGAACCCATTTTACAAATACATACAACCTTCCTAATGTCGGCGTTGTGTGAAAGATGGTTTGAAGAAGATACACACAGCGCCGCTCGAAACTATGTATCTCTGAATCTGGCCGCTAGTCGCTGAAGCAGCTTCCTGTCCGAAAGTGTCTGCGACCTGATATCGTGTCGTACAGCGTAGACGTTGACATTCACAATTTATTAAACGACTCGGAAGGCCACTGTAAGATTTCGAAAAAAAAACTCTAGGGCGAAACTTGAACAAAACACCAAATAATTGGAACCGTACGCTTTCTGATTTGTCTCGCATTCGTATGTTATTTTGGAGACTGACATCAGATGAACGACACTAACGCTACGGACAGCCAAGTTTTTTTTGTAAAACATATTAGATTATTCATGTAAAATATCGTGCAACTGTTGCTTGAAGAGCGATTGAATAGAAGCATAACCTATCAAAGAAATTTGTTAGCTCAGTTTCCGTGTTCGAAACCTTCACCAGGTTTAGCTTACCTCACTCATAGGATTTCCAAACTCAATAGAGATAAAACTTCGACAGGTCTTCGAGTCATGTACCTATTATTTCGCACGTGTTGTTTTTCTTCTACTTAATGCATTTCATTGATTAACAGCAAGCTATGAACCTAAAGCTCGATCGCCCACCGCGATACTTAAACCACTGGCTTCATGTTTTACTGATTAGCTAATAGTTTAGTAATAGTTAGTAATTGAAGCATTGTACAACTGAACAGACCTTCTGCTCACCGTTTTCAGGCCAAACGTAGTGACGCGGCGTAGTCTGGTTTGAATCAGTCGTTCAATTGTGAAGGGCAAACAAGACCTGTTGCTGTTGTGCGTGCGACGTCGAATAGAAGTTGAGTACCTGCGACTGCGTGTCGTCAACGCATCCCGCACGAGGTCCTCCTAGTACCGTGACCTCACTTGATTGATTCACGCTAGCCGTGATGGTGATGGTGGTGTTGATGAAGATAATGATGATATTCGAGTTCCACGAGTAAACACTGAAGAAGTAGTAGATAATTCAAGCACATACTTTACAACTCACAACGCACTATGGATGGCCATAACAACAATGCTACCGCTGCACTCGAGGCCCTTGTTGTCGTGATTGCCCCTGGTTACTCACTCGACTGGTCGACGTACTGGCGATATCAGCTCGCATCCGCAACTTCTGTTTCTTCTCGTACAAACAATAACTTCGGTTAGTAAACCTCGGCCAAGGATTACGCCATTCAATCGTATGGCGACGCCGCTTTGAAGAGTCAGCCAGGGATTGACTCAATTTCGACAAAAATGACGGCCTTTAATTATAATTTGGCTCCATTATTATACTGCTACCATAATTTCTATGGATCAAACATTGGTTCATGATTCATTCACTGATGACTCTTTTCACCTTAACGTTTACTCACCGATACTGTCTATAAAAGAGAGACATGGGAATTGGTGTTAGACACATGGGCGACTATGCGGCGATAAAGGAAACGAATCGATTTGATTCGGCGCAATATTCAGTGACTTTCAAGCTTACTTAAGACTTGTTTCATACTAGTCGTACTATAACGATACTATTGGGCTGCCGTTGGCGCACACTGATTATACTGTTCCTGTGCACTCGCGCTGCGATCGCTGCGGTTTAAAACGTCGTTACCGTCAGTTTAGCTTGAAGTAAAGAGAAAGTTTACCGCGTTCACGAGCTTACGCAATTGATGACAGTTAGCGAACAAAGACATCAGACTGAGGCGTAGATTACATAAACATAGCACCGATGTCGGCGTGACAGTCGTGGGAGGTCGAAGGGCCGTTAGTAACTCCTAGCGCTCAAAAGATAGACGCTCAATGAAAACAGGTTCCTCCAGTTTCAGCGGTTGTGGGGCAAACAGGCGTAAGACACTATCACTGCTTATGCGGACTACAGAGACTGCGTAAATTCCTCTAGTGGCTGTGGGCCTATATTTATTTCGGTCTGGTCTACTTGCAAGCTAGCCATGATGACGACAAGGTGCGGTGAAGGTCTGGAAGCGGTTGTGCTGGACGACAGCGCAGGCAGACCAACAGATTAGACAGAGAGAGAAACGACGACGACGACGACGACTATACAGCGATAATCGTACTAATGATAATACAATTGCACATTGAACCAGTGAAGATATTGGCGAACGAGCCGAAATAGGCGACAAACAGAATGACGAGTAGGAAGGCGGTGTCGAGAGGTTAGTTCGAAGGATAAAGGGTTGCCCTGGCGTCGACACTGATTCACTGACAGGTCACAACAATACCGTATCAGAAAACGAAAACGCGCTTCACACATCCAGCAGTAAGACATACACTCACCTCCTCACTTAGATAGATTGAGAAGTATCGTTACAGAGTGATAATAAACTGAACTTTGAAGGTCTTCGCGCAAATATCAGACGATTCATAGTAATTGCGACATCGGTGAAATCTCAATGAAACTTAGATGACGATGGCGGTGCAGAAGAACAAAAATGGCGTTACGTTTCAAAATGGGACAGAACGCCGGTTGGCGACAAACTGAAATTAGTCGAAGCGAACGACAGAGTCAAGCCACGATGACGTGGCTGTCGTAGCTATGTCGATATGAGAAATGGTGCCGTTCTTCCTGGCGAAGCTTCCTGTGACGTAACAAAAGCCTCAATGAGCTTGGGACACTAAGTAAGAGCAGTACTGCAACTGCAACAACAATAACAACCTTGACATTGTAGTAAACGCATTTGCTTTCGAAGCGTTTTGCGTACTGTTTGATATCCTTATTGTTTGTTGCGTAACAGATGCTCTCTTTAACGTGGATAAATATCTGACTGTTGGAAACGTAATTATCGACGGTAGGGTTGCAGTTCCGCAGACGACGGATGCATATGTACTGACGTTGAGATTGCGCAAAATACAGTATTGAAGGGGAGCGACGTCACGCTACCGATGTCGATGGTGACAAACGGCCAGCTGACTCACACGGTTTCTCTCTCTGCCATTCTCCTTCTCTCGTTAGTGTAATTCGCCTAACTAAATTCTTTTTCTTTTAAGGCAAACTCTCTGCTCCTGCATTTAGGTTGTCCTTGTTCCCCTTTCCGGTCCTCTTTCGGCGTCAACAGCCTTCGGTTTTCCTTTCTCTTCCACTGACTATGCAGAACTCCGAATATCCGATTCTGATCATAGCAGGCACTGCAGCTGCTGTTTTTGCTTTCAATAATGATCCTGATGGTAGAGGCTGTTATAAAGGCGATATCTCGGTCGTTCGAGAAGGGGTAACAGTAACAGTGATCGATGGCTACGTTTGCTGGTTCGTCCTTTTTTACTCCATTACTGATTGGGACGCTAAAAAAGTCAGGTTGTAGCCATTTACGTACACTGGCAAGCGCAGAGTACGAGCAAAGAGAACATATATGTAAGTGAGTGCACCTCTGCGCGTTTTTCGTCTCACTCGGCTGTTCTTTTTCTTTTCCTTATTATTGTCCTAGATTTTGCTACACTACTTTGGACCTGTCGGACAAATGACGTTTGATGGAAATGAACCTTATGAGAAAATGGGAACACGGCAATCTGCTGATCAGTTGACCGTAATAGTAATGTATTCACAATCGACAAACTGCACCGACGGAAAGACAAACGATAATGATACTGCACTGTTAATAATCACGCAGAACTGTCATTAGTATTATTAGTGCCCTGCGTCTGTCGACAAATCCTTTCGGAAGCAAAATACATTTTTTCTTTTCGCAAATAATGATGCTCTGTGTTGTATTCCCTGTCACTGTACCACCGATCACGCACTACGGTACGGAGGGTAATCGTCCTCGCCTGATGGTGCGACTTACGATACTTTCTGGTCAGGTCTAAGATAGTTAATGCAGGATGGTCCTTTTTGGTTGTTCGGCAGGTCAACTTAGTTTCGAACGGAACGAAGAAAATCTGAACGGCAACAACAACAACAACAACAATAACAGCAACAACAACAACAATTGCTGCAGTAACAGCAAACAACAAGCAAGGCTGCCGCTTCCGCTGATCACTGGTTGCTTGTTTGACACCCGCGTGCACGAACACGCACACACACACAAACAAACACATAAACACAAGCTTGCTTGCTAATTGGTTTGGGTTTTCCGTTTACAGTCGCTGATTGGTATTCTCTCGTTTTTCTGCTGTGTTGCTCGCTCGGTCGCTCGCTGTTTGTTCTATTTCGTTGTCGTCGTCGTCGTCGTCGTTGTCGTTGTCGTCGTCGTCTTCGTCGTCGTCGTCGTCGTCGTTGTCGTCGTCGTCGTCGTCGTCGTCGTCGTGGTCGTCGTCTTCGTCGTGGTCGTCGTCGTCGTCGTGGTCGTCGTCTTCGTCGTGGTCGTCGTCGTCGTCGTCGTCGTTGTTGTCGCGGTTATCGTTTCCCTGTGGTGTCGAGTTTTTGTGGTTGTCTTCGAAATGCACGAAGGGCGCGTGGGACTCCTGGTAGGCGGCTTGTTAGTTCCTCCTTTCCTTAGACACTGTACGCTGTCCTGCTGCTATTGCTGCTGCTGTTGTTGCGGCAGCAATAATTGCGATTTGTGATATTTTTATTGTCGTTTTTTGGGGCTACTGCTGTTCACACTGCTGTTGCTCTATTGTCTTCTGCCGCGACAGTTTCTTTTTTTGCTGTTATTATTTGCGTTCTTTTTTCATGCTGTTTGACGCCCAGGTCGACCGGAGTCGTACGGAACGATAAAGGATGCAGCAACGATCAAGTCGTGACCTGGTTGCCGCGGTTGTCTCGTTCTATCTCCTTATTGTTCCCCGGCTTCCTCCGTGTTCCTCTCTTGGCCTGCACCAACCTTGCTCTCCGTCCTTCTCTGTCCGGCCTATCGAGTATCTTTTTAGCGGCGGTAATGCTGGTAGTTTTTTTCTATTATCGTCTTTTTCTGCTTCATGATGCACGCTTGTGTGTTCCTGACGGGGCGCCAATAGTGAATCTGCGAAATCAGCGTAGATTACTTGCAAGTTCACTAGCGCTAGAGCAAACGACGATTGTTAAATATCTATGATCTCATTATTATTCTATACAGTATATTACACTATTAGTTATAACGATATAGACAGACAGACCAAGCGTAAGACAAAGTAGAAATGGCTCAATGTATCAGAGTGATGAGACGGAAGTGAGAAAAGTTGGTACACAACTATTGGCACAGCTGCAGTTTGTTGATGTTGAATCGACAACTGAGAACAGGCAATGGCAGAAGGGGACGGTGGCAATGATACGATGAGTGCTGCTGGCGCCGTTATGTGGTCTTGGGGCGTTCAAAGGAGAACAACACTGAGAAAAGGTAGAAGTTGTAATGATGGTGGTATGATATCGGTAATAGGAAGAGTGCAAGCATTAGTACAATGTAGATTAATAGTTAAAATGATGATGGAGTGTGTCTAATAAATAATAAAACACTCGTAACACGGCTTTTGAAACACACGGTTACGTTTGTGACGTAGTCGTTGAGTAGTGACGTTGGACGATTACGTTGAGGTTCTCGAAGGACCTCGAGTCGCTTCGTGCACACTCGTCGAGGCCCTCGAGGCCGCGGGAACTTTTCTGCTGCTGCTTGTCGCCTTGTTCGCTTGCGTTGTTCGAGCGCTGCCCAATGGCTGGCTGCTCACTCGGGCTCGTCTGCATCCATCGAATGCCCACCGCCAATACACCCTCACCCTCCGCCTCCCCCTTGCCACAGTAGCGTTACCGCCGCGGTGAATAACATTACAACAACAAGGACGACGACAGCGAAGGAGAACCAGCACTAGATTGTTCGTAGCCTTACGACTAGTGGCTGCAGAGGCGGTGACGGCTCCTTCTTCTGCTGCTGTTACCACGGCTACCCGCACACGTATACATACATCCTATTTATATAGTAAAAATTCATACAGGCACTATGTGGCAGTGCTGTCGAATCGAGCGAAGGCTACGTCATAGAGTTGTAGCAGCAGAAACCCTAGGGAAACAACCTAGTGCTATCGGAGAAAGCAAATCTGCCATCAATGTTTGTCCAGCAACACCCTTTCCCAGCGACCTTCGTTCGTTTGCTTATGTACGAACTGTCGCTACTGCTACACAATTAGAGCAGACAACGGCGTAGCAAGGAGCAGACAGAATGCCAAAAACAGACTAGAAAACTGCCCACCAACCAGCCATAACAAAGCTGTTCCTATCTAAGCATTGCTGTTGATGCTGTAGCTATCGCTTTTTTTGTCAAAGCGAGAGTCTTTCTTCGCCTGCTAATGCTGGCCTCCCTCCCTCCCTACCTCCCTCCCTCCCTCCCTTTAGTGCTGCCCTCCCACTTTCCCTTGACTTCGCAGACTACAGCTGACTCCAGCTGCCTCTGCCCACCATCTATTGCCGGCAGTCGGTAGCGGTACTAGTCGAGCGAAATGGGCACGCTGTTTTTCTCCACGGCGACTACAGAGCACCCTTTCCACCCGCCCTAGTCATATGAAAATGGTAATAGAGCCGAACGGCAGACCATATTACGACCACTATCAGCAGCAGACGGCCAAAACTCAGCCACTCAGACATGCATTCACGAAAATATGAACCAGACGATAGTTGTGCTAAAATAGGTGTGCGATAAATAGGCTTACCCTATTATACCCTTTTAACGATTAGTGTATAAGGTTTCTCAATTAGGTCTCCTATTAGGAAGGTGGCAGCTAGGATATCAACACATAAGGCGTATATTATGTAAAGAATTGTGCCGAAATCGAGCTCGAGAATGTGGCTTCTATTAAATGTATTCCCTACGCCTACTTACGTATTCTGGGTATGGGAAGCGATGGAATATAATCATAGTGAAAAGAAACACGACATGGCTTTTTTAAAACCCATCTGAACAAAGTGATAGGAGTTATATTTTGAGGGCAAAGCAATGCATCTTGGCAAAATAAAGGGTCTCCTCAAACAGATTAGGCGATCTGTGGGTAAATCATGAGATATATAAGCGTCAATTATACAGCACCTATACGGAAACTATTGAGTTCTATATCACTTCCATAAGTCTAGCACTTAGCGACTGGATACGTCATCGATTTGCGACAAATATTTTTAAGCGTAAATATTAGATGCGCCGGTCGCAGATATAAATATATCGCTATGTTGCACCATAGAGCCGTAAATACTCTACTCACTACCGGGTCCAGTACCTGTTTAAAAGGAAGAATCGAAGCCATATTGTCGATGATCTATACAGTATGGCCGACTTAAATGTAAGCCGGTTCTTATGACCTGTTTTTAGGAACATATCTAAACAAAAACATATATTTTAACGATGTTCTCTAAAAGTGACATTCTTGGTGGTTCTGTTGCATTTAGTTCGACCTCGGCCAGTTTCGAGTTCAACCTAAATCAAAGCCTGACCGCTCACAGGCTCCATCTTCGTGAAAAAAGCACAATTGCGCGATAGTTCCTTCCACGTGACACGACGCTCATTAATCTTCGTTGAAATATTGTTTTTATTTATAGCAAGCATGTCCTTTGGACTCTAAACAGCATCACGATCATTTCTGCAATTGATTTTCGCATCGGGGGTAGATATTTTCTCGTTCAAGAAGGATCGAGCACTTTCCTCTTGAGTCAATTAAAAAGCCAACGTCATCGATCAGGTCTCAATGTTTCATTGGCCTCAGAGAGCATTCGTCTGGTTTTTGTGATACATAACACATATCTAAGGTCTAATAAGGACATATCTTAGTGAAAAGTCTTTTGCGCGAGTCAAAAACGTTTTCTTGGACACTACCGATAGATCTCAAGTACGCGCTATTTTTGTCTGTCGTAGATTTACAGTTACTTGTGCAGCAGCACACTCATCTGTAATGGCATATATAATCGAATTAGGGTATACAAACAAACTTGTTGTCTTGTCGGGAGTTCACTGAGCGTGAACCAGTAGTTCTCGCTCAAGTTCCTCTGGTCAAGTATTACTTTTAACTATAGCTGTAAGCTTGTTCAGATCATCCATGAAACGAGTTTTCATCTAGTATTGTAGGCCTTTAGAGGGACCCAGTAGTGGCACGTTACGTCAATAATCGAAGAAGCTCTAAATTAAGCCGATTACCTTCCATAACGGCCTAGTACAAATAGGTACAAAACCAGTCGTGAAACAGGTTCAAACCAGTTAGGCATGAAAGCTTAACGCATTGCCAAACTGGCCATATAAATATTCCGTTGCTGATAGACAATAGTAAAAAATATGACATATGGCATAGTAAATTATCAGTATCCAAAAAATTGCATCCTTGGAACATTTATACATATCATATCGAAGTATCCGCCACTGAACGAATATATTGCTGAAATTCGGACAACGTTAGAATCGTTTTAGATTTAGCCAGGAATATCCAGTGAACGATTACAATTGTTTTTACGGTTCTGTCACTTGGTAAATGATGTTTTTAAAAAACTGTTCTACCACAGTTAGCTTTTGTAGTGCTTAAACATTTTATTGTTAAAAGCTCCTAAAAGGCGTCTAGAAGACGAACATGACTGACTCGTTGCTGGTAACATATTCGGTACTAGCTTGTGTGTATACCTCCGATGACATCGCCGTGTTTCGTTCTCATAAGGACGCCATCTAAAAAATAGTATAGCTATTTGGGCACGATCAGATAGTTGCGTAATTTTAAAGTTGATCTAAGATCTTTAAAACCAAAGCTGAGGAGCATTGTTCGGCCTATTTTCGATGCTCGCAATTGACCGTCCCAGTAGATTACAAGGCCTCCCCGATCTAAATAACGGTAAATAAGTGATCTGCAAATCTGCATATAGTATTGCAATTACTATCAGAACTCCCTTGACAACGACGACTTTAAACTCCTTTATGACCTGCTCTACTGGAAAAATCTTTATGTCTATCATTGGATTTGCCCGACAAGTCATTTGGCTAATGCAACAATGGCTCTGACCCTATTGCTTATAGCTGGCATTTTCTTTAAAAAATAAAACAACTCCTCTTTGCTTGATTGAATACAATTATATTTATTAGTAAAAGAGCAGAAATACCTGTACTTCGAATATGCATACTGCTTGATGCAATTTTTATGATGAATCAGCAAACTGGCCTAACCGTCTTGCCTTAAGGGCGTCCCTTCACGATCCTGGCAGGAGGCGTAGTGAGCTATCCCAACCCGTCTATTACCCTTAAAACAGAAGATCAGTTTTTAATAGTTTGTGGCGTTAACAAATGGACAAGGTAATAATTGTGATCGCAGAGCTGAGCGCGGCTGGCCATTATTGAGCACCGGCTTC